GCGGTTAAAAACTTTCGTAGTTCGTTCTCTAAACTACAACGTGAATGCTCATACTAATGCGTATAAATTAAAATACATAACATTTTTAGTAATTCATCAAACCGCATAAAAACCATCTGCACTGCACCGCATAACGCGATTTGAAACATTTGCGGTGCGGTCTGTGGTTTCCAAAAATCTCAAACCGCACTTGCGGTGTGGTTTGTGATTTTAACTCTAAATCACACCAAACCGTACCGCACACACCCTTACATACAACAATCATACAAGTCCACCTCACCTCCTATATAACCCTCATCTCAACCCATTCCAGATGCTTTAAAATCCACCACCTAATTTAATGTTAATAAATAGCAAGACACTAAATTTGAGGTAATGTTATACATAATACTAAATTTGAGGTAATGATTTACACTCATTTTTGCATAAAAATGAGAGAAAATTCGGATAATAACCAAAAAAGGAGATTGGTTTGAAGAAAATAACCAAGGAAAATCAAATTTTGGAAAATGACCACAGGATCCGCAAAGCACCATCTGCGGAACCATTAAATGCTCTGTGGATCCTCTACAGCTCTACGGAATTGTTGTTTATTGATTTTTTTTAATTTTTTTTCGTTTTTTCGTTTTTTTTGCGTTCATTTTCGTTTATTAATATTAATTTTTTTAAATACACTAATACCTTATGTGATTATGTAAATAATTTGACAAAAAAATGTTAAAAATAATAAACTTATGTTTGATATCAGTCCACAGAACTCTTTGGGAATCCACCCTCTGCGGATCCATTAAAGCATCTGCGGATCTAGCTACAGCTCTGCGGAATGTTGGTTTTTTAATTTTTTTAATTTTTTTTTCGTTTTTTTTTGCATTCATTTTCGTTTATTAATATTATTATTTTTTAAATACACTTATACTTTATGTGATTATTATGTAAAAAATTTGACAAAAAAGGTTAAAAATAATGAAATGTTTTATGTAATACGTTTGCTACTGATGTATGTTTTTCATGTATTTGTACTGTTTTGTATTTTATGTTCTATGGAAGAAAGTAAAAGTTAACTCAACTGGTTTTGTAAATAACCTAATAATGAAATGTCTTATATATATATATATATATATATATATATATATATATATATATATATCAGTGTACACCTCTGCGAAGCAGTACACACCTCTAAGGATCAGTGTACAGCTCTGCGGATTTGTGCAAATCTCTAAGGATCAGCGTACACATCTGCGGATCAGTGCATACCTCTAGGGATCAGTGTACACCTTTGCGGATCAGTGCACACCTCTAAGGATCAGTGCACACCTCTAAGGATCAGTGCACACCTCTACGGATCAGTGCACACCTCTAAGGATCAGTGTACACCTCTGCGGATCAGTTATAGAAGTTATAGACGTATTTAAGTGGTTATTTGTGAGTTTGTGAGTTTCAATTACTAGTAGAAGTTGTTTTTTCGTTGTGTTTGTAGAGAGTGATTTGTAAAATGAGTTTTATTATTTTATGTACGGGAGGGTCGTGGCAGTTAGTTAATGGAGTTGAGGTTTACGTTAGAAATAATGTGAAAAACTATGGTTTAAATCTTCCTCCTAACATTGACCATGAAATGTTATTACAAATGGTTAGAAGTAAGGCAGGTGTGTTAAATAGTCATATATGTTTGTCTTTTAAACACCTGGAGTTAGGGTATGTCATGGAGCTTGGAGATGAAACTGATGTATTTCAATTGAGACATGTAATGTCTGAATCAAAGAAGACGGTGCATTTGTATTTAACGGTGGTAGGTGAAGAAGATGAAGAACAAGCAGTGGTTAACAACCAGTTTAATCCAACAAAAACTAATAGAGGTCGTAGAGAAAGCCAATGTGATGGAAACCGTTCAAGGGGAAGAGGAAATCACACTTTTGTATCAGATAATGACAAAGAACCAAAAGTGGACATGACTGAATTACAACGTGAAAATTTGTTCGAGTTTGGAGAAGTTCCTAAAATTGATGATCGAAGATGTGAGGAAAAATCAAATGAAAGGTGGTCGGATGATGAGTACACGCAACGAAAAACTGCTTTTAATCCATGGTATTGTATTCCTTCTATTCCTGATTGTCCAGAACCTATTCTTGAACCTGGACCATTTCACAGTTTAGGTCCGAATGATAAATTAATTGTCAATCAAACCTATAACACCAAAAAAGAGCTAGCATTTTCTGTTAAATTCAAAGCCGTTAGAGAAAAGTTTCAGATAAAGGTTGAAAAATCTTCAAAATCTCGGTACCAGGTTGTTTGTATGCAAGAAAACTATCATTGGCGTTTATACGCATGTGTCATAAAGGAACAGAAATGTTTGAAATTAAGACGTTTAATGACGAGCATACATGTTCTTCATTGCTTATACACCCAAATCATAGGCAAGCAAATAGTGAAGTTGTGGGGACCATAATACATAACATTATGGGTCAAGGAAGTTTGAGAGTTTGGAAGCCTAATGATATAATTAGAGATATAAATGCTTTGCTACAAATAAATATGAGTTATTCACAAGCGTGGCATGCTAGAGAATTTGCTTTGGGATTGATGATGGGGACCCCCAAAGAAAGCTTCTCCAAACTTCCAATTTTTTTTCACAATGTGAAGAAACATAATCCTGGTACTGTGGCGTACATAAAAACTGATTCAGATGATCGTTTTGAGTATTGCTTTTTCACTATTGGATGTGCGGTAATATATTTTTAAATATATTTGTTATTATCTTAAATGTTTATAAACAATTTATATTGTTAATATATTAATGGTTTTTATATTGTTGTTGCAGATACGTGCTTTCAGAGAGTGTTGTAGAAACGTTATTATTATGGATGATGCTCATTTGAAGGGAAAGTACAAAGGCACCATCTTGCATGCAGTAGCCATGGATGGCAACAATCAGATCTTGCCTATTGGGTATGGAATTTGCCCAAAAGAGACTACAGATTCTTGGACATGGTTTCTTGAAAAACTACATGAATGCATTGGTGATGTGGAAGGTCTGACAATGGTCACAGATAGAGCACCCGCAATTGCTGTAAGTATTCAAAATGTTTTTCCAAATGCTCAACATGGATTGTGTGGTTTTCATCTAATAGGAAACATAGTCCACACCTTTGGAAAAAACAAAAAAATAGCAATTTTGTTTTGGAAGTTGGTAAGAGCTTACAAAACCACTGAGTTTGAATTCTATTGGGGGAGACTTCGTAATATAAGAGATGATGTAGCGACATATCTCATTCAAATTCCACGTGAGAAATGGACCAGAGCGTATTGCCCTACCACGAGGTATGATTATATGACCTCAAATAGTGCGGAGTCCATGAATGATGTATCAAATAAAGCAAGGAAGTTGCCTATATTACCACTTCTTGAGTTCTTTCGCGCACTTATGCAGAAATGGTTTTACAAACGGCGGATGGCTGCAGGTATGATTATGTTTAATTTTAAATTATATGATAAATGTCATATATAATAATATATGTTTGTTTTAATAGAAAAAAGTACAACAATACTAACGAAGTGGGCTGAAGATATAGTTAAAAAAAATAAAGAGGGGATTCAAGGATGATCGGTATCCGGTGTTGACAATACAACATATCAAGTGCATGACTTCAAAAGCGGCGGCATAGTGAATTTGAGGGAAAAGACTTGTTCTTGCAGATATTTGCAACTAACTGGTTTGCCATGTGGTCATGTGATAATGGTTTTAACGCACTTGAAAAATGATCATTGTGGCCATATGGCTATAGATGCTTATAAAATTGAAACATATCGAACAACGTACGAGCAGGCCGTATACCCTCTTTCAGAACTTAGTGATTGGGAGGTTCCAGATGACCTTATGGTTGTTAACCCTCCTGTGATGGAAATACGTCAAGCCGGTAGACCAAAAAACACCAATCGTATCCCATCTCAAGGTGAGGAACCAAAAATAAGAAGGTGTACTAGATGCCATAACACAACTCATAATGCAAGGACGTGTAAGGAAATCGTTCCAAAGAACCAAAGTAAAACTAAAAAACGTATTGAGGCTTCAGGGAGTGGGATAAAAGCGACAGAAGAGGAACAGACGCAAGCGAGCGAAAACCAATGGCAGCATGAGCCAGAGAACCAATTGACACAACATACCGAACAACAATGGCAGCAGCAGCCAGACAACCAATGGACACAACAGACCGAACATCAATGACAGCAGCATCCAGACAACCAATGGACACAACAGACCGAACATCAATGGCAGCAGGAGCTACATAACCAATGGGCGCAAGAGACCGAATACCAACCGCAGGAAGAGCCACAGAACCAATGGCAGGGTTGCACCGAGTACCAATGGCAGCAAGATCCAGATAACCAATGGACGCAAGAGATAGTAAACCTAGGGACACAAGCAACAAATAACCCATGGACGGAATACGAAAACAGATCAAAGTTTCCGTGGTTCGATTTGAATGAATGAAGTTTATTTCAAAGTATGTTTATTATGAGGGTTGTATGTTTATGTTTTTTAAGGTATGTTTTGTAACCTATAAAAAACATGAAATATTTGTATAATTTTAATTAGGTTATTTATATGCACCGGTTTGTATTACGTTATTTATATGTATTTGGTTTGTATTAGTGTATTTTAAAAAGAAATTAATATTAATAAACTAAAATTAACGCAAAAAAACGAAAAAAAAAACCTTTTTTTGTCAAATTTTTTACATAATAATCACATAATGTATTAATGTATTTTAAAAAAAAATAATATTAATAAACTAAAATTAACGCAAAAAAAATTAAAAAAATTAAAAAAAACAACATTCCGTAGAGGTGTAGCAATTCCGCAGAGGGCTTAATAGATCCGCAGAGGGTGCTCTGCGGATCCTTTGGTCATTTTCTGAAATATGTTTTTCCTTGGTTATTTTCTTCAAACCACCTATTGTTTTTGGTTATTATCCGAATCGTAAACATTAACATTTGTCAAAATGTTAAAACACTGTAAGAGCAAGTCAAACTACATTGATTCTTACTGTAGTTTCAAAGACTTTGTTCCTGTCTCCGGTGCTTTTCACTGTGGCTTGAAGACTTTGTTACACCACTTCTTTGCATTGTGGTTGACAGCTTTCTCCCGTACTTCCCCTTCCCCACCATCCCTTCAAAAATCCTCACACGCTTCATAAAGAAATATATTTGTTCTAATTCAAAGAACCCTGATCGTCACCCCACAACCACCATTAACGTCGTCGGTCTGGCGAATGCAGGCATCGGAAGTCATCAGAGCGGGAAACTAAGCCCAAGGTCTTCAGATGTTTGTGAACATGACAAATTCTTACCAATCACTAGCATTGGTCTAATAATGATGAAGGAGTTACCGGTTAATGAGTAAGGTCTCTCTCTTTCTCTCTCTACATGCTCGCTTAGGGTTTTGGGTAAAGAGATGAAAAAAATCATCTCACTTCTCTCTCAGTCGACATCAACCTTGCAACCGTCCATGGTCTTAAAGGGCCATAAAAGAAGCAGCTGACAGGACGGTGGTTGAAATAGAGCTCCCAAGACAGCAAGCCAAAGGTAACAATTCCTCATTTTAGTTCATTATTCACATATTCATTGAATTTTAGTTCTGATTAACCATCAACTAATCACACCGCCCTCTTCCCCCAATGCTTTCTCCTTCTTTTTCATCTAATTCATTTCTATAAAAACCCAACACGATTTCATTTTCAAAGAACCCTACTGCGACATGTCGATATGGGTTTGTCTAAAGTTTTGGTTAATCGATTTGTTATTTAGGAGTTTTATTTAATTTTGATTCGTGGAATTTTAAATGTTTTGCAACCTCTGAAAGAAGAACATTTGACAAAAAACGCACTCAAGCAGGTTCTCTAGCTTTCCCCTGTTCTATCTTATTATTCTTTTTATTTTTTTTTTTAAATTTTTTGTTGTAGAGGTGTTGTGTGTAGCAGCAAAAGGATGAACATGAATAATCTTTTGTTATTTTTAGGTTGCCTGAATACAACATTGAAAATGACTTATTTCCGAGATGGATTTATGAAATATGTTGAAAAAAGGGTATTTTCATATTGGGGATTTGTAGCTTCAGGTACTACTTCATTCCCTTCTACAACTTTCCATTTTCCTTTTCTAAGTATGGTTTACATATATTATTTGGACAGGGCTTGATCGTCAATTTTGATTTTAGGGTCACACAAAAGATATGGTGGAAACCATGGGTCTTTAAATCGGAGATAAATGTTATTATATCCTATTATTTCATATTGCTTTTACTGCCATTTTGTATGTTGAATAATATGTGTTCGATTTAATATTACACTTTTAATGAATGAAATGAATTTCTTAAATTGAAATGAAAGGTTACATATTGTTTATATACAAGAGGAAAGAGAGTCAAACTAACTAACTCTCAATATATACAAACAGGTCCTTCATCTTTCAATAAGTACAATTATAACCTCTATTATTAAATGGCTCAAATGGTTTCCAAATATGGCTTTTGAAAGATACTATGAATACTGATGTTGCTATCTCAAAAGCATCTTTCCGGTAAACTTGAGTATTGTTGGTAACATTTTCCCCAATCTTAATACATTTTTGGGTTTCTCCTCCCATTTTATTTGTTTTATGGTCAATAGAAATGGGATTTCCATGGTTGAGGGTGAAGGCCTTTCTGTTGAGGTACAAATAAAGTTTGTTTCATCATATTCTCATGGATTATTTATGTAATAAACTAATTGTTTCAGGATCTTGGAGATGAGTTTGAGAAATATTTCCAGGCATACTATGACCAGACTGAAGTTGGAGATCGTTTTCACCTTTTTGGTTTTACTTTCTCTAAATCCTCTACCCCGGTTCATGGTAATATTTCACTATCTGAATATAAATTTTATCATTGATTGAGTGCTTTAAAAAATCAATTAGTTGATATGATCTAATTACGAGGAAGCATAAGAAATGTAGAGACTTCATTATCTAAATGAGATGCTCCTGGTAAGTTATGCACTCATTTTTCCTTAAATAGGTTTTCAAGTTTTTTTCTTGAATATACCGAGTCCCTTTTTTGAAAACTCGCATATCACTTCTCATACCTCTTTGTTTAATTTCATTTCTTTTATAAAGTTTTGTGCAATTCTTTATATCTATGAAAACCTTTCCTTTTATCTTCATCTTTTTTATAAATCTACTCAACTACAACATCACACATTCAATTTTTTTGCTTACTAGGACATGTAAATTTGGAAAAAAAAAAATACTTATTATAATAATAGAATTTTTAATGAAAAAATAATTGTGAGTAACATTAGGATGCTGTAATGAAACAGTAATTGAGAGTATGTTGTTATTTCGTGCATTTAGCAACATTTCTTCCAAAATACATTGCATCTATCGAGAAAAAAAAAGTTAAATGTATAGTTTGAATTTTTTTTTTTTTGTTTAATTATAGGTAATAGGTTCTCAAACTCCATACAATGCAAGACGCTTCCAAAATACATTGCATCTACCGGGAAAAACTATGTATAATTTGGAACTTGACTACAAGCCCGTTACTATTATTGTTGATGTTGAAGTTGCTGTTACACCTGATGTACATGTTGGTATGCTTATCATCTTGGCTTCACTAATAAATTATTTAATAAAAGGAACGTAAACAATAAATTCCTTGATGATATATAGATTTTAAAGGGTTAAAACTTAGAAGTCTATCCAATTATAGCTATAGCAATATAGTTTTACAAAGTTCAATGTTATTTAATGGATTTACAATACCAAATATGTGGTAGTTAAATTCCAGAAAATGAAATTGCAATGCTATTTATGTGATATTTAAGAAAGTATTGGAAGCAGGTTGTTGTTTTTAGAACTGAATCTGTTCAGATATCACTGTGCCGGTTCATAAAAGTTGGAACCGACAATGACCGGTTTTGGTTCTTATTTGTTTTTTTTTTAGAATCGGTACCTGTTGGGCACCTGCTAGGGACCAGTTTCGAGACTACGTATCCGTAACTGCTGGATGCCTAGAACCGAACCATCGGGTACCATTATTTCATTAATGAAAATATATATATATTTTATTTTTAATACACTAAAACTAATTGTATTACTTAAGTGAATAATGATTCATGCATTAATTAACATTTTCTCCTTCGAGTCAAGTATTTTGATGATTTACTTTAAAGTATTATGTTAAATCTATAAATATTTTGATGGTTTAAGCTTTAGCCGTTGGCAAGTATATTCAATTTTGGATGGTTTAACTGCAATTAACATGTAAAAAAGATGGTGAAATGTAAGATTTTTTATCGGTATACAATGCTAATGAATAAAGGAAAACTGGTTGATGATGAAATGGAAAAACATTACAGCCGGAAGCATCATCCCTTCATTGCTTTTCATTTAAGATTAAGTTATGATTTAACTTTTTCCCCAATTTATAAACTAAAGATCCGTGATTATGGTTATGTCACAAAAACATATTACATATTGCTTAAAATTACGCCGCAACTCGCGGCCTTAAAACCTCGTTTTCTCTAAAAAATGATATTAACACCACAAATAGTATGAGTTGGAAATGCCTTGAAACAGCTTACTTTTTTGGACCACTTCATATTAATGTTCTTATTGTTGTTGTCAGTCGGTTTCAAATTTGGGTTTAAAAAGTCAACTTGGATGGTCTTCGAAAATAAAAAAGGTGAAGAGACATTTGCAGTGCAACATTTATTCTATCATCAATGGTTACCATGAGTGCCTTTTTATTATAATATTTTTAATACTATGAATTTTAGGTCGGTTCATATATATATATATATATATATATATATATATATATATATATATATATATATATATATATATATATATATATATCACGGTTGGTTGATATTAATAAAACAAAATAAAGACTATAATAATAACAATCATTAATTATGCAAACAAATATTTCTTTTACATAATTTATACATCTAATCATTTAAAGTATTTAACTTGATTAGGTTTTCGATAGTTGTTTACTTATAACATTTTGAGAACAGAATGTTAATTTTGTGGGATTATATCCTATTTTTTGAGCCACATTTTTTGTTGATTTATCGGAGGTAAGTTTAAGATGGAGAAGCAATAAAGTGATACATGACATAGTATTAATTAGGATGTTTATTATAGTGACACATGGCAAAATGATAGTAAAAATATAAAACTATTTTTTTATTATATAATATCATACTATATTATAAAGAAAGTATTTTTCCTTTCACCACATTTATTGGAAACTTTCATCTATTTTTTCTTTCACCACATTCATTTGAAACTCCCATGATGTTTCAATTTCTTTCTAAAAATAATTATAAGTTGGTTAATAAGGTTAAATAAATATCAAACCTAAAGTGTAATCATATATAAACTAAATTTCAATATTAAAATAATATCTTTACTTCTACTTATTATACTTAATTTATTAGTTTTAATATATTGTTGGATGTAAACCATTATCATTTAAAGATACAATTTTGGAACAATTTGTATAAAATACTTAAATTATTAATTTGAATATAATATTACAGGGTCAACTTAAATATAAATTTTAGTTTAATTTAACCAAAGAATATTTCGTAAATAATTAAAAATGATTAATTGTAGTGTTTTTCTAATAATTATTATAAGTTTGTTAATAAGGTTAAATAAATATCAAACCTAAAGTGTAATCATAAATATATTAAATTTCAATTTTAAAATAATATATTTACTTCTACTTATAAAGTTATGTATATAACTTTTAAGAAATTATACTTAATTTATTAGATTTAATATGTTGTTGTATGCAAACCATTATCAGTTTAAAGCTACAACTTTTGAACAGTTTGGACAAAATACTTAAATTGTTATTTTAAATATAACATTACAATGTCAACTTAAATATAAATTTCAGTTCCACTTAAAAAAACCAAAGAATATTTTGTAAATAGTTAAGAGTGATAAATTGTGGTGATAAATGCAAAAACTAAATTGTAATTTCAATTTAACTAAATATTTCCTAAAGATATTTTTATAATCGTTAAAAGTTTTCAAATAAGTAGCTTAAAATAACTTTCGATAACAATGGTTAAAAATAACTAAATAATAAATGATTATATTGTTAACTTTAAAATCAAAAAACAATGTTTGATGTTTTAAATAATTATAATGATAAAAATTAAAACATTAAGCAAATAAATTTAAAAAAAAAATAATTAACAATAACAGTTATAAATAACATTAAACCATATATTATATTTAATTTTATTCATGTGTAACTCACGAGTAGAAGTCATTCAAACGATTGAGATTATGCAGTTATAATAGATGTATATATTATCATATAATTCAAAATAATCAATACATTATATCAATTTAGTATACGAATTATTATATCAAATTTAACAACAACGTTATTGCTATATTAAAAAACATATATTTGTAAAGACTTCAACTGTATAGTTGTTTATGCACAACGCGCGGACATTCTCCTAGTTAGTATATATGGAGATGAAGATGATGCTATTCATTAAACTAATCGGATTTGAATCAGTCGTTTCATATATTTGAGTTGGATAAAACTCTTATAAAAACATTCATTCAGGCCGTTCCAAACATATTTTAGGTCCGAGACGAGGAAAAAGACCCTTAAAATTCACAAATTTCATGAAGTTTTTTTATAATAATTCAACAATTGAAAAAAAATTACTTTTACTAAATTCTAAATATAACATTTTCGATTACAAAAATCCACATATTTAAAAAAAAATACTTCTTCTAACTTTTTGAGATGCAAAATCAATTAAAATGTTTTATAGATATAAGCTTTTTGGGCCCTTTTAAAAGATGGTTATGGACGGTTGGCCCTATCACTCACTCTTTCGGACAGACCTGGATTGACTTGACCAAAAGGAAATAAAGTTAGAATTCAAATTCCTATTTTATGGAATGATACCCACATAATGAAAATTTAGTTTAACTCATCCACGATTTTGATTGTTTACTTTGATCTTCATTTGTTAAATAAATAAAGAACAACAAATATTTTTTTTTGTCATTATATTGAATATCATACATGATAAACAATTTGTAATAATTATTACATAAATAAAAGGGTCAATGGTCTAGCAATAAAGAATGACTCTCTCAAAGGAGAGATCATGGGTTCAAATCCCAGTGAAGATATAGATGGTTAGAAATATATTAGATAGTTTGCCGTTTAAAAAAAATAAATATTACATAAACAAACAACAAGTAAAACATTAAAGTCTAAACAGTTCCATATTATAGTTTTGTAATTTAAGATTCACATGCAACCTGAAAAACATGATTATCCTTCTGTAACTAGTATAAATGTGATAATCTATAACAATTTAAAAAAGCTAATGTTTTATTATTGCGAAAAAAAAAATAATAAAGACAATAAATTGAAAATCAATCTTTGGTTAATCTTTGTAAAACTTTAAATAAAATCCCAATAGAAGACGAGTCAAATAACTTATTATGTTAACCCCCCTCCCCCTCAAACTCACAATGCGATAACAATAAACATTAATAGTCTGTCAGTTAATAAGAGAAACTGAGAGACCGATTGAAACGTTGTGAAGATATCAACAATATGCAAAGTCAAGGGAACAGACGACACCGAGATGGTTCTGATCTATAGATGATGGTGAATGAAATGACAGTCAATCTCAATATGATTCGTCCGCACATGGAAAACATAATTATTTGCAATATGCATCATGCATGACAGTTATATTGTCACCATGTAAGGGGGCATGCTAAAAAACAAAAACTCGTATATCAACAAGAAGCCATAACAACCAAACAATTGGTAGTCACGACAATAACACGATACCCAGTCTATGTAGAAGATGGAGAGAAACATCTTGTTTCTTATTTTCCATGAGATAAGTAAATTGTTGGGAATATATTTGTATTAATTTGATGATGCAAAAGATATACTTTATAGTTATAGTTTTACTGCTCATTGTAGACAGTTAGTCTTGTCTAAGCAAGTGTAAATAATACAATTTAGACAACCTGATCTGGCAGAGTTTGTTTAGTTAGTTAATCTGAAGTACAGATGTTATTCGGGTCAGAACCGAACCGAACCAACTCGAACCCGAATAACTCGAAAACCGAATGAAGGTAATTGCATGAGCCGAAAACCGAACCGATTAACCAATATGGGTTCGGTTCGGTTCGGGTATTAATCGGTTCAGTTCGGTTATTACCCGAATAACCCGAATAACATGTATAAGATGATTAAGGACCTAATATAACCGGAAAAATCCGAATAAACCGTATTAGGATTTTATAGACCGAATAACCCGAATAATAAAATAACAATGTACTTCTATACATCAACATAAAACATTCAAAGACTAACATAACACAATAACACATTGAAAGAATAATATTTACATAGTAGATTAACATAATGAGAATTAATTTCTTATTTGAGTTTCTTGAGTTGGAACCCAATTTTCCATGACTAGAGAAAGTAGGAATTCGTGAATCCTTAGAGACAATAGGAAGGGTCAGTTTTTGAGAGTTTGAAACAAGAGGAATGATCGACAAAAGTGATTTCGAGTTTGGAAATAGTTGAGAAGATTGGTCGCTTTTGAAACGACGAGAACGAGCATAGGGTTTTTTCTGTTCTGAACGACAAGGACAGAAGTATGAATCGTGATTTTGATTTCTGTCGATCAGAGAAAGGGGACGATGAATGCTTATTCGGGTCGGGTATTTAGAACCGAATAAGCTCTTATTTGGGTAACCCGGACCGAATAACCACATAACCGAATAAGCATAATATAGATACCCGAAACCTGAATCGAATTGCTTATTCAAGCCTAATTCGGTTCGGTTCGGGTTTTTGGGCCAAATTCTCATCCCTAGAATCTGAAGATATGTTGATAGAAGTTCATATGTTGAAGACTGAAGACCAGATCTGAGCTGCCTTATCTGATCAGATCTGGTACTAATATATGAAGTCTTGGTACTGCTGAAGATCATCCCTGGATGATTAAAAGACACTATCAACACCAAAAGCACGAAGATATCATTCACTGATGACTAATCAGTGTTTCCATACACTGATGACACAATGATCACATGATACGCTGAAGACATA